TCACAACATATTATGCAAAATGTCGAAATTTTTTTAGTCTAGAGTTATTGTAAAAAATTATTGAATAACTTGTATTTTTTTAAAAAATAAAGGTATTAAATCAACTTATATTACAAAAGGTCTAAACCATATATATCATTGGACTGTTAATGCATATTAAATCATAACGAAGTCATGCAATTTTCTCTCAACAAAGAAAATTTGCATTGTAAGCAAAAGATACAATGTGTATATATAAATGTATATATATAAACGTTGCAGTTAATTGATTGAGTTATATATAAGTTGCAGTTAATTGATTGATTGGTGGTATATTTTGATTAAGAAGAATTTCTGCCAAGTCTCTCATAGTGATTCCAGTTATTTTAAAGTCTAACAAATTTTTAACATTAGATATATGTCTATTTATTTTATAATTTAGTTGAACTTTTAGTTCTTGTGTGAACAGTAATTATTATATTTGTTTTGGAATGAAATTAGTGCCATTTGGATAGTTTGAAGAACTTGAATCTAATGCAATGGTTGGTAAAGTAATTTTAAGTGTTGAATTGCTAAATACAAGAATAAATGCTAGTTACTAATAAAAAGGATTGAAGGAGTATCCGCTATCTTTCTGTACCTTTATAGTGCAAGTGCAAGGGTTTTAGTAAGGTTAGAGTGTTTAATGATTGTGTCGAAATAATTAACCTTCTCTTTAGAAATGACATTCAATTACAACCCTACTTTAACATTCTTGCCAATGTTAGATCTTTGTTGTATAGAGACTAAGCGTGACTATATAGTTGATGTAAAGAGAAGCTAATTTTTATGCTCACTACTTAGCTACAGTTGCTTGTAATTCGATTGATGATTTTCTTACTTCTGATCATTTACTGCCTTACTGTCAAAAGTTGATGAACAATGAGAAGCTGTTAACTTAATTTACTTGTATCCTCTATTTTAAGAATGTGATTATATTTTTCAGTCTAGGTGAAAAGAAGGCTCTATCATGGCCCATTTATTATTCTTGGTCCTCATTTACTTGAGCAGCTGGATATTTGGAATCCTCTCACACCGTTGTTTCGGATCAATTTTTTCCCAAAACTTATACATTTTAAAAATCTAGTTTAGAAAGAGTCCATCATTTTAGATGGAGAATATATGGATATATTCCAATTAGATTTATATTTAAACTAATTTGATGAAAGGAATGAACACATATTAAATTGCTATATGATGAGTAAAATAATTAAAGAAATTACTACATGATCAATGAATAATGTCTTGTAACCCACAACCAAGTTGAATGACTTGTATTATAAATGCACACCATGCATCGGATAATGAAATTCTATACGCATGGTAAATGAAGTTGAATGACTTGTATTATATTTTTTACTTGTCATTAAAAAAAGTCGCACATAGATAATAATGAAAAATATTTCATCTAAACACAAAGAAACTAAAAAATAAAACACCAAGTGTCGCATTCAGAAATGCGATGCGGACGACGCGAGAGCGGAGGTTCCGACCTTCGTAAGGAAGACTGAAGAAATGAGAGTTGCCACCAAAATTTTGAGAGAAATCTTGAAAAACCGTTTAAAGGTGGATAAGTGTGGTCTGCAAAAACAAAAAATAGGTTTGGGAGTCGATTAAGTGTGGGAAAGGTGTTAGGCACCCCACAATACCTGTTTGTAAAAACAGTTACTTGAAGTTTGTTGTGCTATATAAATATGGTTTTAAAATTATTTTAATTACCCATTTTATATTCATATATTTGATATAAAAATAATAAGAATTAAGTGAAAAATGTTTATTTATTTATGGGGAGGACTTAACTCAGAATCTGACTTTGAGGCCTATTTACCCAGCGATGGGGATCAAAGTCCACGTAGTTCGGGATTGGTAATTGTTGATGAAAATATTTTTGAGAAGAAATTAATTAGAAATAATTCACCATTTTTTAAATAAAACAATTTCTAAAAATTTTCATATGTGTGTTTTAAATTGTAAAAAGTGATTTAATTTCAATCATTTTCTCAATTTTTTGAATCTAAAAAAAAAGGTAAAGGGTTTAAAATTTTTTTTTGTTTTTTATATTTTATGATCGAAAATTTAACTATTATACCTGTAAAGCCTTATTGGCTCATACGGTAATACAATTATTCTTTATATCTGCGAAGAATACAAATTCTCGCATGATAAAAGAGTTTAACAACTTAGTTTATTTACTTAAGTTTTTTTAATTATTTTTTTAGTGCATTGATATATACTTATCTTTTTTTAAAAAAAAATCTTAATCATCATACCTTCAAAGTCTTATTGAATTTTACGGTAATATAATTATCCTAAATGTCTGCGGAGATCAAAAATCCTCACACCATAAAAGATTAAATATTATATAAAAAATATTTTAATACGTAATTATATAATTTGTATTTTAAAATATAAAAATCTCAATCGCTATACCTACGAAGTCTTATTGACTTTCACAATAAAATGATTATTTTAAAGGTCGACGGATATTTAAAAATCTCACAAGACCAAAATATTTAATGCATTAATTTAATTAATTAATTAAATTATAAAAAAATAATTATAATTTTATTTACAAAATTTATTTATTTATTTATTTTAAGTTAATGACCACGACATTTGCGAGGACTTATTATCCTTCACAATGAGACGATTAAGCTGAATATCTACAGAGATTTTTTTTAAATCTCTCACAATACCATTCAAATGTTTTAATTGATTATATTTGTAAAATAATAAGAACAAACTCCTTCATTTAACCACACATTTAAAATCTCCATATGAAAATGGTGTCATGTAAAATCAAAATTATCTTCAAAAATTAATCAATTATTATTAAATGAAAATTAAACACATAATAATGTATGACTTTGAGAAATAAAGAAATAGAAATCAAATTTAGGTTGATTAATATTCTTTCATACTAGAAGACAAACTTGAATCTTCTTATCACTTAGCTCAACAATACGTACTAAAGTATCATAACTAAATCAATCTCATTTGTAACAGCATATAAACACATGTTAGAACATATTTAAAGTATGCAATATTATTTAGAAAAAAAAAACAATGTTACAGGGCTATTTTCTCTTCAAATATTTTCACAAATGTTTCCCATCCATACTTGAACGTTTAAAACCTCTAAAAAAATTTTTATTTCAAATACGAGGAGTTATCATCAAGGATCCCTTTCATGATACAAATATACTCACGTATCTGTTGCCAGGTTTTAGAACAAGGATGATATGAAGCAAAAGACAGGTGTGGGGTAACAAGTAGTAAAGCAGAGAAGGGAGAAAGACAACTCAGACTTCTTGCACTGATGGAAAAGGATGGCTAGCTCTTAGTTCTGAATCAAAATGCTGCTCTTTTCTCAAGCAAGACACTGCCTTTGTTCCTTTGACACAGAGAAAGACATCTACTCCTTTTCTTCTCGTTCGTGTTTTCTTTTCTGTGATTTTTGTGCTCTTCTCCTCAGTATATTTTTCTAGTTTTCTCTCTTTTCATCTTAGTCTCAGCTCTCTTTCTCTCTCTTCGTATCAGTTTCCTCCTCTCTCAACCTCTATTTTTTTCTGTCTGCTTTCTCTCTTCTCCTTTTTTTCTGTTTCTTTTTCTCATACTCTGTTTCTCTTTCTTTGTACTCTACTTTTTCTGCATTCTTCCTCTTCTCTCTGTGTTCTCATTTTTGGTGTTCTTCTTCCTCGGAATGCTGCTCTCATTTTTGGTGTTCTTATTCTTCGGACTACTACTCTCGTCTCTCTTCCGTCTCCTTGCACAAGTGCTCTCTTTTATAGTTGAAGCTCCTCCTTCCTCTTGCCGTGCACGTTTCCTTCTTCTTTTCTCTGAGTTTCTGTTTGCATGTGTGTATGTGAAATTGCTTTCTGCGTTTTCCTCTCTCTCTGTGTTTCTCTTTTGCTCATGCGTCTCTGCTGTGCGGCTGAAAGATTAGCTTTCTCCCTCTGCTCTCTGTGTTTATCTTCTTTTTCACTGTCCTTGTTTTCAGCCTAAAAGTGTGGTGTTCTTTCGCTGCGTTTTTGCATGGCTACGTTTCTGCTCTGTTCTGCGTTTCACCTTGCGTGTGGCTAAACAGTTCAGGTCTGCTGTCTGCTACTATTGGTTTCTTTTTCTCTGTGCCTTTCGTGCAAGTATGCGTCTCCTACGCTGAGGAAGATGCCCTTTGTAGCTGCTCTCCATGTCTCTCGGTCGTGTGTTTCATGTGCAAGCTTTGGTCCCTTGTTTTTTCCTTTTCTCTTTCTCTGGTTTTGCGCTGAACGAAGAGCTGGACTGTTGGTTAAACACTAGATTTTCTAGTGTTTAAACCTTTAGTTCATATTCGCTTTCCTCTGCGTCTTTGCCGTGTGTTTTGTGTGCACGTTTCAATCTCTCTTTTGCTTCTTTTTGGTTCTGCGTCTGGACGAAGAACCTGAGCATGGTTTGATCTCTATTTTCTCCTTTTCTTTATCTCCTTTCTACTACATCTCTGTTGTGTTTCGTGTGCATGTTTCAGTTTGTTTTCTTTCTGGTGCGTCTGGACGAGGAACCTGTACATGCGTGATCTCTATCTATTTTTTTTTATTTGCTTCCCACTGCATCTGGACAAATGGACAGAGGTGTTTTTAAAAAAAACCTAACTCTCTTTTCTTTTAGTTTTCAATTATTATTATTATTACTACTACATATGAGGGAGACAATTAGATCTACCAAAAAAATTAAAAATAATTAATTTTTAAGAAATTGATTCTCATAATTTTTTTATTATTGAAATAATTTGAAAGAGATTTTTTTAAAAAAGAAGTTTAAGCAAGGTTATTATTTTTAATTTTAATTAATCTTTTTATTTTAAAAGATACATGATCTTTAAAAGGATTAAATTTTATTTTTATATTATATATATATATATATATTTGAAAATATAATCCAAAAAGAAAATTTTTTTTTTGTATTTTTATATTTTTTGGTTATTAAAAACAATGCTCGGATAAAATATGGTGTTCATACTAAGAAGTAAAATTGTGGGAATATAAAAAAAAAAAAGGTAAGGAATTAATGATAACCTACTCATTTCTTGTATCCCAACCAGATAAATTAGCAATCTGCGTTAAAGCTTCTATCCATCTTCGAACTTCATGTGGAAATCTAACTTCATGGGTCTCAAAAGTTGTAGCAAATTTTCGTTTTGATGTCGCACGTCAGATGGATCTATGCCATAAAAAACTGGAAAAATTGTTTGACCGGAGTCCTTTTTGGATTCTAGGATCTTCTGCAATTCATCCAAACACCAAGAGGAAGAAGCATAATTCGCGGAGAGCACAACAATCGCAAACATAGATTGCTCCATAGCTTGGCCGAGTTCGTCCTTAATAACGTGTCCTCTGTGAAGATCTAAATCATCCTTGATGCTCTATTTGGTTGAAAAGAAAATATGGGAGGAACAAAAACATGAAGAGAAAATAGGAGAGAAAACAGATTTTTCCTGGATAGGGAAGAAAAAATGAGAGGAAAGAAAAAGTGAAAAAAAAAGTGAGATTCATTATTTTTTCTTTTCAACTTTTCTTTTCAAAAGTTAAGAGATTTTGGGAGTAAAATTTTTTTTCACCCTCTATCCTCTTTCTCTCTTTTATTTATTCACGCTCTAATTGTCAAAAGACTATTTAATTATATTAATTTAATTTTAATTAAACAGTTTGATTTATAATTTTTAACTTTTATAATTATGAATTACATTAATTTAACTATTTAAATAAATAATTTAGTCATTGGCTAGATCAAGTGTCTAGAATTATATTAATTTAATTTTAATTATTTGATTTTAAAATATAATATAAAAATATATTTTTAACAAATAATTTGATTTTAAATTAATTTGATTATGTTAATTTTAATATAATTTTTGCTTTCAATTTATTTTTACAAATTTAATTATATGATATATTTTGATATAAGACATTATAGTTATTACGATATCTGTTCATTTTTTTTTTTTTTTATTTTTTTTCTGTCCATCCAAACCAAACAAGTGATAATATTTTTTTTTCAGTTTTCTCTTTTTTTTTTATTTTTTTCTCTCATTTTCTTTCCTTTCGACTTCTTTTCCATCCAAAACAGAGGGTGAAAGTTTCAATTCCTTGTCCACGCAAAGCAGCGTACAAGTGATCGGTGAAGTTGGTGCGAGTGTCGGTGCCTCTGAAACTCAAGAAAACATGATACTTCGTCGGAGAAGATGAAGCAGAGGAAGGACCTGGAGCAGCCATTGAAGGAGCTTTTGGGCAAACTGATAAAAGGGAATGAAATATTCAGCGACGACTGAACGAACTGGGAAGAAGGAAGATTGTGGGTGGAGCAAATCAAGAACACCCAACCAGCTTGACTTGGGGTCAATAGTCATCATCAACTTTTGTAAGGTCACTTGCAAATTTCTACTTTCAATTAATGTTCCCCCTTTTTTTTTGGATAAAATTAAAGTCCCTTTAACCAGATATGTGAAGACCGAAAAATAACTGTGGAACACCACGTAAATATTCTAATTTTTTAAAGATGCTCCTGAAGACAATTATAATCTTATTATTTTTACTAATCCGTCTATAAAACGTAGAATCATCTTAAATTCTAATATGGTTTAATTTTTATATGTTTTATACAGTTCTTACCGTGGCTTTATATTTAAAAAAAATTATTTAAAGATGCCATAAAATGAAAGCTTTGAACTATTGAAAGACTTATTGAGACCCAAAAAAAAAAATATTTTAAATGTAAATATTTTTTGTTGTCTAATGACTTGATTATCCATGATCTAAAAAATAAAGCATGGCAATATAAAGTAATTAGATAATAAAAAATATTTATACCAGAATTTATGCAATTTGAAAAAAAAAATTTCATTTTGTAGGATTTTTGAATTTTGAGAAAATATAAATTTTGATCTCTATACATGCTTTTAGTGTGTTTTGCTATTAATTTATTTGCTTTTATTTTGCTATTTCAAGTCTTTTATCTTTTATTTATTTGTGACGTTAATTTATATATTTTTTAAATATAATTTTAAGGATTTAAAAATGACTAACACGTTTATAAGCTCTATTACTTTTCACAATGAATTGTTAAATTAACGATGAGTTATATTAAAATGAATAAAAAATAAGAAATAATCACAACATTAAATCAGTACAAGTAGAACAGTTTGTATTTTCCCTCCGACCTTTTATGGAGCTCATCAGTGATTTTCCCATATTTTTCTTTTCGGTGCATGGAGGCAGCTTTTTCTTTTGGGAAAAAAAAATACTTTACCCTTTGGTTACTTTTTTCTTCACCGTTTTCACATGGGTGGATCATTTTTCGTGTCCTTTTTCACCGACGAACAGGCTGTTTTGTTCTCTTTTTGACACATAACAGGCTTTTTGGTGAGAATAGTGAATAAAGTTACCTAGCTTAAGCTTTAGCATGGCCCCTTTATCTTGTCGTTTGCAATATGGTGGACGCACGCATTGACCACAATCTCGTGGTCCTCCTTTAATTGCTCGTGCATTGCACTTGCAAACCAGCTGGATATTTGGAATTCAATCACACGTTCACATTGTTTTGGATCAATTTTTTTTTTTGACATGCATGGTACATGAAGATGTAGAGCAATTAATTCCTCTATCTGATAATAATATCATTTCTCTGTCTTCCTGATTACGGATCCCTCAAATAAACCTCGTGAATGTAACTCAATGCTCAATGTTCTTCCCGTCCTTCGTTGACATCGAAAGACATTTTTATTTTTCTTGTATAATAGAAATGAAAAATAGAATGTTGCGCAAGATATTATTATAAGAGCAATCTTATCCAAGTTACAAATCATCAACATATTGTTTGTTTTATTTGGGAAAGAGGAAGAGAGGGGAGGTGTTTTAATAATTTTTATTTAGTTTAGAAGGGGAGGAAGAAGAGGGTAATTATTAATTATCAAATATACCCTTATTTATATATTTACTATTTTATGTACATTTCTAGTTTTTTAGCTTTTATAAAACACATCCCTAGAGTTATGGTTACAAATTCTAAAACAAATACAGCACTTTTTCCAATAAATGAAATTTAAAAAGACACTTAATCACATTGATATGATTTTAAAAATTATTAAATAAAAAGTACAAGTGTAGTGCCGCCTTACTAATTTAATTCTCAATCAAGCACATTACTGATAATTACCAGAACTAACTCAAAAAGATTATCTAACCATATTTAACCATTTAGAAGTATTTCAAAATCCAAATGTATTTATCTCAAAAATTAGGAATTCCAAATTTTAAACTTTACAAAACAATTCAATTATGACTTCATTAAGTCAAAAACAAAATACAATTACAAAAGTATAGGATACTATTTGATATCTTGAAAACAACAAGAAAAAAGAAAAAATAGAGGGACTAGTTCCCCTCTTTGCCGCGTGCCATGACACAAGTGTCATGTGCTATGAGCTGTGCAAGATTTGATAGTACACAAAGATAATTTTTGACACGTTCCATTTTTCCGGTCCAACATTTAGAGGTAGTTTATGTATTTACAAAAAATATTTTACATAAACTAATTAATGATACAAGCTTTACTCCCAAAATAGGGCATTCGATAGGTGTTTTATATATATATATATATATATTTCAATCATACCCTTACTTTATTAATTAGTAATTAATAAAATTATTTTAAATAAATTAAATGTTATACTTATTACATTCAAGGATAAGATTGAAAATATATATAAATTTTTAAAAAATTAAAATTTTAACTAACTTGCTTAAAGAACTAAAAACAATAATTTATATTGTGATTTTTAGATATTTTTCCACCGGATTTTCCAACATTAATTGCGATCAACTAATCACCTTTGGGCGGGGTCAATAGTCATGGCCGGACCTACATGCTTAAATGGATGTCTTTGCACCCAGGGCAAGTTGGGTTAGGAAGATGCATGGCAATTTCCTTTTAAATGTATAAATAATAATAATAATAATAATAATTTCATTTCCCCATCCTATCTATTTACCTGTTTTAATGTAAGTAGGAGTAATACCATTTTTGTGAAAAGTATAAGTAATACCACAAAATATTAAAAATATTCAAAATCCCCACTAAAAACAGGATGCTTTTCTGGCAATTTAATAAGAGGGATCGGCTCTACCTTGAGAGAGTATAAAATTTTTTGAAACCTAATCATTTTTAAAGTTGGACCAAGAGGTGCAAAATGTTTGAGTTAAGGAGTATAGAGTATTGAAACATATGAACTCTCCTTATAATTTTTTCCAAATCTAAAGGAATGCATTTGGCCCCTAATTTATATGTGGCACTGCCCATGGAGGGTGGGAGTGGGAGTGAAAGAGGCATCGTTTTCATTTTTTTAAGGTTAATAGTGTCTTTTTCCAACCCTGTAATCCCTATTTACAGCGTCCATCCATGTAATCCAGATGCAATCTTATGATTATTAGAAAATTAGGATGATCTAATGTAATCCCTTTTAAGTTACTAAGTCCAACCAAATAGCAAGAATCACCAGAGGATTACATGTAATCATGGTTCATAAAATTGAACCAAATGGGCTATATATGAATTCAGCATTTACTCAAAGCAGGAGGGAAGAGGTCCAAATTGGAAGGCTGCAATGATACATTGAAGCAAGTTGGCAGTAGCCTTGTCAACTTCCACTATCAGAGAAATTCAAATTATTTATCCAAGTCTATGTATTAAACATTATTTTAACTCAATTTCTTATTTTTCTCAAATATAAATAGAAATGGTCGTTTTATAAATTAATTATAAAATATAATTACCCCGAAAAGCTATCTTCCACCAGAATTATTAACCATTTCGAATTTGAAGTGGCGATATTGATAAAAACATGCGTAACTTTTGCAAAATGCAAATTGTATTGAAGTAGTATCTATGACATGATTTTCGAGCCACCCAAAATAAAAATTCCTTCTCACTTCTTTGCAAAATTCACTATCCAAATAAGTCCATTTAGGTGTGATTATGCTTAACTTAATATTTATTAGACTAGCTAGGTTTAAAATAAATTTAATAAAAAATTAATCTGCAGGTCCATATAATTTCCTTCAAATTGAAAAGAAATAATTACAATATAAGTCATTCTTCATAAGCTTTATTTATTTTAAAATATAAAGCATTGAGTATGTGTTATATATATATATATATATATTTATTTTCAATCATATCCTTACTTTATTAGCAATTAATAAAAGTATTTTAAATAAATTAAATATTATATTTATTACTTTCAAAAGTATGATGGAAAAGATGTATAAATTTTTTAAAAAATTAAAATTTTCACGAACTTTTTTTAGAATACATAAATCAATTAAATATTAATGAATAAAATAAGCTCTGAAATATTGCTTGCGCGTTCAATTCTGAATTTTTAAAATATATAAAATAAATTTTAAATTTTTAAATTCATAGCAAAATGAATTTTGATTATTAAATTTTTTTAATACCATACAGTTCATGTAGGTACTGTTTATCATAGGTCTTAATTAATACTGATGTGTTATTGTAAATTAACGTTATAAATTTTAAATTATTATGTTAATTATGTTATGAAGCTTAAACTATTATGTTATTAGTATTTTAGATCTGAAGTTATTATGTTAGCCATTGGAGGAGCATTTGGGTAAACTGCTAAAAGGGCATCAAGTATTTCAGCAACAGAATGAACTGAGAAGAAAGGAAGGTCATTTTTGGCGCGTGGTGGCAGCTTTTTGGTGCGGTACATCCTTTACCCTTTGGTTACTTTTTTTCTTATCAGTTTTCACGTGGCTGGGTCCCATTTCAATTCCTTTTTAATTGATGTTGGGACTTTGAGCCGTCCATGTCCCCCATGAACAGGCTTTTTAATAATGGCGAACAAGGTTTCCTCAGTTCAGGCTTTAGCATGGTCGATTTATAGTTTATTATTCTTGTCGTTTGCAATAATAGTGGACACAGCCATGAGCCATTGACGACAATCTCTTGGTTCTTTGCTTGGCATTGCATTTGCAAAGCGGATGGACACTTGGAAGTTGGAACCCAATCACACGTTCACACTTCACATTTTTTTCGGATCAATTTTTATTTAAGAAATCTAATTTAGAAAAAGTCCATCAAATTGGATAGACGATATAAGGATATGCTAAAATTCCTTGTCGAATAAACGCAGTGTACAAATGATCAATGAAGTTGGTGCCCGTGCAGGACTGTTGGTGCCCTGAAAGGACGGATTTGGATTGTCACAAAAATTTTTAAAAAATATTTTGTTTTTTATTTATAAACAAAATGCTAAAATTAATGTTGGTTCCTAAAAACATGATAATTCATCATAGAAGGTGAAGCAATGGAAGGACCTGGAGCGATCATTGAAGTGTTTGGGCAAATTGATAAAAGATAATCAAATATTTCACTTGTCTTATTTACAAGTTATTTTTAATATATTTTATGAGAATTAAAAAAATTTAAATTTTATTAATTTTATTTTAAATTTAATAAGTTCTCACAAATACCTTCTAATAAAGATAAAAA